TTAATTTTTGTATAAGGAGTAACAATGGGGTCTACTTTCTGTTTTCTGCACATGGCTAGCCAATTGTCCCAAGATAATTTATTAAACAGTGAATCCTTTCCCCATTGCTTGTTTTTGTTACATTTGTTGAAGATCAAATGGTTGCAGATGTGTGGTATTTCTGAGGTCTCCATTCTGACCATTGATCTATGTGTCTGCTTTGGTTATTGTAGCCTTGTAGTATAGTCTTAAGTCAGGCAGCATGATGCCTCCAACTTTGTTCCTTTTGCTTAGGACTTTCTTGGCTATATGGGCTCTTTTTTGGTTCCATATGAAATTTTAAGTAGTTTGTTTTAATTCTGTGAAAAAAGTCAATGGTAGCTTGATGGGAATAGCATTGAATCTATAAATTACTTTGGGCAATATGGCCATTTTCATGATACTGATTCTTCCTATCCATAAGTATGAAATGTTTTTATGTTTGGTTGTGTCCTCATTTCCTTGAGAGTGGTTTGTAGTTCTACTTGAAGATGTCCTTCATGTCCCTTGTAAGTTGCATTCCTAGGTATTTTATTTTCTTTGTAGCAATTGTGAATGTGAGTTCACTCATGATTTGGCTCTGTGCTTGTTGGTTACTGGTGTATAGGAATGCTTGTGATTTTTGCACATTGATTTTGAATCCTGAGACTTTGCTGAAGTTGCTTATCAGCTTAAGGAGATTTTAGGCTGAGATGATGGAGTTTTCTAAATATACAATCATGTCATCTTCAAACAGAGACAATTTGACTTCCTCTGTTCCTATTTGAATACTCTTTATTTCTTTTTCTTGCCCGATTGCCCTGGCCAGAACTTCTAATACTATGTTTAACTATGATGAGAGAGGCTATGCTTCTCTTGTGCTGGTTTTTAAAGGGAATAATTCAAGCCTTTGCCTATTCAATATGATATTGGCTATGGGTTTGTCATAAATTGCTCTTTTTATTTTGAGACATATTCCATCAATACCTATTTTATTGAGAGTTTTTAGCATGAAGTGGTATTGAATTTTATTAAAGGTCTTTTCTGTATCTATTGAGATAATCAAGTGTTTTTTTGTCATTGATTCTGTTTATGTGATGGGTTACATTTATTGGTTAGTGTATGTTGAACCAGCCTCACATCCCAGGGATGAAGTTGACTTGATCATGGTGGATGAGCTTTTTGATGTGCTGCTGGATTCAGTTTGCTAGTATTTTATTGAGAATTTTCACATTGATGTTCATCAGGGATATTGGCCTGATTTTCTTTTGTATGTTGTGTCTCTGCCAGGTTTTGGAATCAGCACGATGCTGGCTGCATAAAATGAGTTAGGGAGGAGTCCCTCTTTTTCTATTGTTTGGAATATTTTCAGAAGGAATGGTACCAGCTTCTCTTTGTACCTCTGGTAGAATTCAGCTGTGAATCTGTTTGGTCCTGGGCTTTTATTGGTTGGTAGGCCATTAATTATTGCCTCAATTTCAGACTTGTTATGGGTCTATTCAGGGATTTGACTTCTTCCTGGTTTAGTCTTGGGAGGGTGTCTAGGAATTTATCCACTTTTTTCTAGGTTTTCTAGTTTATTTGCTTAGAGGTATTTATAGTATTCCCTGATGGTAGCTTGTATTTCTGTGAGATCAGTGGTGATATTCCCTTTATCATTTTTTATTTTGTCAATTTGATTCTACTCTGTTTTATTCTTTATTAGTGTGGCTAGCAGTCTATCTATTTTGTTAATCTTTAAAAAAAAACAGCTCCTGGGTTGACAGACACCTCATATATGAGATCTCCAGTTGGCATTGGACTGGTGCCCCCTGGGATGAAGCTTCCAGAGGAAGGAGAAGGCATCAATATTTGCTGTTCTGCAGGCTGCACCAGGGATAACTCTGCAAACAGGGTTGGAGTGGACCTCCAGCACACTGCAGGAGACCTGCAGAAAAGGGGCCTAACTGTTAGAGGAAAAACTAAGAAAAAGCAATAACATCAACATCAACACAAAAGACCCTCACACAAAGCCCCATCCAAAGGTCATCAGCCTCAAAGATCAAAAGTAGATAAATACATGAGGATGAGGAAAAACAAGCACAAAAATGCTAAAAATTCCAAAAACCAGAATGGACAGAGAATGAGTTTGATGAATTAACAGAAGTAGGCTTCAGAAAGTGGGTAATAATGGACTCCTCTGATCTAAAGGACCATGTTCTAACTCAATGCGAGGAAGCTAAGAACCTTGACAAAAGATTACAGGAACTGCTAACTAAAATAACCAGTTTAGGGAGAAACTAAACCCTGACCTGATGGAGCTGAAAAACACCACATGAGAACTTCACGAAGCCTGCATAAATATCGATAGCCACATCGATCAAATGGAAGAAAGGATATCAGAGATTGGAAATCAACTTACTGAAATAAGGTGTGAAGACAAGATTAGAGAAAAAGAGTGAAAAGGAAAGAACAAACCCTCCAAGAAATATGACACTATGTGAAAAGACCACACCTACAATTGACTGGCATCCCTGAAAGTGATGGGGAGAATGGAAGCAAGTTGGAAAACACACTTCAGGGTATTATTCTGGAGAACTTCCCCAACCTAGCAAGACAAGCCAACATTCAAATTCAGGACATACAGAGAACACCACTAAGATATTCCTTGAGAAGGGCAACCTCAAGACAGATAATCATTAGATTCTCCAAGGTTGAAATGAAGGAAAAAATGTTAAGGGTAGTCAGAAAGAAAGAGAGGGTTACCCATAAAGAGAAGCCCATCAGGCTAACAGCAGATCTCTCTGCAGAAACCCTAGAAGTCAGAAGAGAGAGTGAGGGCCAATATTCAACATCCTTAAAGAAGTTTCAACCTAGAATTTCATATCCAGCCAAACTAAGCTTTGTAAGTGAAGGAGAAATAAAATCCTTTACAGAGAAGCAAATGCTGAGGGATTGTGTCACCGCCAGGCCTGCCTTACAAGAGCTCCTGAAGGAAGCACTGAATATGGAAAGGAAAAACTGATACCAGCCACTGGAAAAGCATACCATAATATAAAGACCAAGGACACTATAAGGAAACCGCATCAACTAATGTGCAAAATAACCAGCTAGCAGCATGATGACATAATCAAATTCACACATAACAATATAAACCTTAAATGTAAATGAGCTAAATGTCCCAATTGAAAGACACAGACTGGCAAAATGGATAAAGAGTCAAGACCTATCAGTGTGCTGTGTTCAGGAGACCCATCTCATGTGCAAAGACCCATATAGGCTCAAAATAAAGGGATGGAGGAATATTTCCCAAGCAAATGGAAAGCCAAAAAAAAGCAGAGGTTGCAAACCTAGTCTCTGGTAAAACAGCCTTTAAACCAACAAAGATCAACAAAGACAAAGAAGGGCATTACATAATGGTAAAAGGATCAGTGCAACAAGAGCTAACTATCCTAAATATATATGCACCCAATACAGGAGCACCCAGATTCATAAAGCAAGTTCTTAGAGACCTACAAAGAGACTTAGACTCCCGCACAATAATAGTGGGTGACTTTAATAGTCCATTGTCAATATTAGACAGAGCAATGAGACAGAAAATTAACAGGGATATTCAGGACTTGAACTCAGCTCTGGACCAAGAAGACCTAATAGACACCTACACCTCTTCACCCCAAATCAGCAGAATATACATTTTTCTCAGCACCACATCACACTTATTCTAAAATTGACCACATAATTGGAAGTAAAACACTCCTCAGAAAATGCAAAAGAATAGAAATCATAAAAAACTGTCTCTCAGACCACAGTGAAATCAGATTAGAATTCAGGATTAAGAAACTCACTCAAAACCATACAACTACAAGGAAACTGAACAACCTTCTCTGGAGTGACTATTCAGTAAATAATGAAATCAAGGCAGAAATCAATAAGTTCTTTGAAACCAATGAGAACAAGGACACAATGTACCAGAATCTCTGGGACACAGCTAAAGCAGTGTTATGGGGGAAATTTATAGCACTAAATGCCCACAATGGAAAGCAGGAAAGATCTAAAATCAACATTCTAACATCACAATTAGAACTGGAGAAGCCAGAGCAAACAAATTCAAAAGCTAGCAGAAGTCAAAAAATAACTAAAATCAGAGCAGAACTGAAGGAGATAGAGGCATGAAAAACCTTTCAAAAAATCAGAGTGACTTTCAACTGAAGGACACAGCCAGGTCAAGGTGAACTTACATGGGAAAAAGCTTGGAGAGCGAATACCTAATTTCACTCTTCCCTGTCTCTGATCTCCAGCCCAACTAGAAGCCAGGAGGAGCAGACATCTTGCTGATGGAGCTCAATGAGGTCAGCCTCCATGGCTGAGAGAAGAATTCTGGTTCTGAGGAGCAGTCAAAAGATATGGGTAAAAACTCTGTCACAGTATTGGCCACTTTAAAAAATAGATTCCATACTTCTGCAGTGAGATGGCCTGAAAATATATTTGAAGCAGTTACATGAAAAGCCACAAAACCTTTCCTAGCTCCAGCTCCCTGGTTGTAGTTTCATGACTGTGGTTTATGTTTTATTTTTAAATTCCCTTTTCTATTACTGTTTTAAAATACACTTTGTCTAGGATATGTATTAAAGGGCCATATTTTAGGAAAGTCCAAAAGGAGGCATTCTTTGAGAAATGACATATCCCTTTCTCCTTAACCACCACTCTCCTCCCCTCTTTGGCTATACATTTCCATTGTTAGCAGTTGATAGAAACCAGGCCAAGGATCACAAGGAGCCAGGAACTGTGGGGCTGACTGAGCTGCCTTTATTCCCCTGCTCTGGGGCACTTGGATCAACCATACACATTTGCTGCTGCTTCTAATGATGTGTTTTGACACTGAATGCATTTTTCATGTTGTTTGTTAAAGACGTGAAGGGAGAATAAGATGATTTTAATAACATAAGTACATTGAGATAAGACTAAGGGAGAATTTTGGTGTTTGCAAAGAAATTATTTTAAGTTATTTTAATTTTTTCCTTTAGAAAGAGATCCTGTCTGTGCTGATGCGAGAGCTACCAATGCATCTGGTAATGAAAATGAGAGCATGGTAAGGCATTAATTCCTTTATCAAACCATTTATAGTATGAAAATGCTTCTTTAACAGGGTAATCGAAGTTCTGACTGATTCACATATTATCACGCAAGAAGTTTATACAGAAAAAAACAACAGGAGGGGTTGCAGGATAATATAGCAAGAAAAGTATAATTAGGCTTTTCCCAATGTCTATAATTAAACTGGCTGTACTTGCTTAAATACATGGCGGTTCTTCTTGTCTCCTATTGTTATTTGTAGAGATCTCCAATGGCATTTTGCACATGAGGGTGAGCCAATGTACTTATTCTTCTGATAGAGGCATGAAACATGGCATTGTATACAAGTGAAAGGAAACACAACTATGATTCAGTTGTGAATTACAGTTTGATTGTACACTTCCTTTTTACCACATTCCTTTTATTTTTTATGTGTTCCATTAACTGGAATACAAATAAGTGCCCGCAGTATGGCAAACCTGTTTTTCCCACTGTTAATAACCATGAAACAGCTAGTAAAGAGACTAAAATTAACTGATAAGACTCAGATTTATTTCATAATGGTCTCATGGATCTTTAATTACAGATGCAAGCAATCGCCTAAAGCTTCTTACCTCCCACCCCAAAACACTACTATTGTTAAATATTTAAGATATAAATGGTTATTCTGACTTGAGCAACGATGCTTAGAGTCTATTTTTCTTGGTTCTAGCCCCTTTCAGGATGTCCAGCCAGTACAGGAAATGAGACAGGACAAAACCGTGACAACTCATGACAAGCATCCTCCATATCCAGTGCTTCATCTCCCCTTTCTTCACTGCAATTCCAGGCAATGGCCTGTCAGACTGGACAATTCTACCACTGCAAAGACTTGTAACCGTTTTCTAGTATCAGATTTATTTTTCAAGACATAAGGATCATTCGCTGACCCACTACCTGCATTGAGTATAAATGCCTGGATATTAAGGATTCCAATTTAACGTCGAAAGGAGCTGTCTCATTCATTTACATTCCCATTGCAGTCAGCCCAGGAGGTTACAGTGAGCTGTCCACTAAGAATCGGAAGAAATGCATCGCTAGGCTGATTCCCAATCTGATCAACTGATAATGGGTGAGAGAGCAGGTAAGAGCCAAAGTCACCTTAGTGGAAAGGTTAAAAAGTTTTCTAGAGGCTGGAAACCAAGGTGATTGATTTGACAAGGTATTTTAGTCTAGTTTTATATGAATGGTTATGTCAGGGTAACCAATTAGATTTAGGATGAGTCTTGGGGACACCAAAGAGTAAACTGTCTGTATCTTTAACGTTGCTAGGGAAAAGGGCCCTATAACACAAGAATTGACATCTCTGAAGTTGGTTACACCTGACCACACCAAGCTTGTATAGCTGAGTGACTAGCTATGAAGATAATGTGAACTCTTCAAGCTCAATTGGCATCTTGCTAACCAATCTTCCAATTAATTTAGATTTTCAAATAAATTTTTAAGCAAGAGGAGAAGGGAAATCTCAGCTAACTTGATCTGCTTCCCTTAATTTTAGTCATCAATTCACATAAAAGAAACAGTCTAATGTTCATGCCTGTGAACTTGTCACTCTAACCAGGTTTTTGTATGACTTAATTGATCAAGATTTTGACTCTATAAGAGAAAGCAAATTCTAAATTGTGATGTAACTGCCACTGAGTCCTGGTCCAATTCTCTGTATCATCTGATCTCTGTTTCACAATCCTATACCATGTACGTAGTTAACTCTGTTTTTGCTACAGTGTTGTGATGGGTTACCACGAATAGCAAAATATTAAGAATTCCAGTCAGAATGAGGATTATTAAAAAGTCAAAAAACTATAGCTGTTGGTGAGGCTGTGAAGAACTAGGAACACTTTTACACTGTTGGTGGGAGTGTAAATTAGTTCAACCATTGTGGAAGACAGTGTGGCGATTCCTCAAGGACCTAGAACCAGAAATACCATTTGACCCCGCAATGCCATTACTGGGTATATACCCAGAGGATTATAAATCATTCTGCTATAAAGACACATGCACACAAATGTTCACTGCAGCACTACTTACAATAGTGAAGACTCGGAACCAACCCAAATGCCCATCAATGACAGACTGGATAAAACAAATGTGGTACATATATACCAAGGAATACAATGCCGCCATAAAAAGAAATGAGATCATGTCCTTACAGGGACATGGATGAAGCTGGAAGACATCATTCTCAGCAAACGAACACAGGAACAGAAAAACAAACCACACGTTCTCACTTATAAGTGGGAGCTGAACAATGAAGACACATGGACAAAGGGAGGAGAACATCACACATTGGGGCCTGTTGAGGGGTAGGGGAACAAGGGGAGAAAACCCAGAGGATGGGTCAAAAGGTACCGCAAACCACCATGGCACGTGTATACCTATGTAACAAACCTACATGTTCTGCACATGTATCCCAGAAGTTAAATTTTTTAAAAGGTAGATATGGTAAAAACAAAAAATTATATTGTGAAGAAAAACTCCAATGAAATAGTATTTAAGTGTCTACCATCTCTGCTTCCCTTAACCTTGGTTCCTTTTTAAAAATTGTGTCCAAGTGAGAGACTATGATACTTAAGAATAAAACGGGATGCTTCCCCAGTGTGAAGTTGGACTTTATTGAGTATGTGCCTGGGGTGTGGAGAAACAGTAGCATCCTGACTTCAGGATTGGTAATATGACAACAGCAAATTTCTAAGAAAAGGTTTCCTGAATATAAATATTGGCTTATTAAAGGGTAATTCCAAACTTATATTTTACTGAAGTTTTAAAAAAATTACTATTCCAGGGGGAAAAAAAACCCTAGTAAAGTCCTATGTTTGTTAGACATTTTGTGTTTTCTCATCGGGTTGAGACTGACGGTAAGAGGGAGCAACTGCTTTGGATACAGCCTGACACACATCCCTGCTAGTTTTCACTCTGTGGCTGTGCATCCCTCTCCACCAATCGCAAAACTCAAATTTGGTTCACCTTGCTCTAAATGGTACCCTGATTTTTCAAGAGAATCCACTTTGATCTGTCTGAGCCAGCCCTGGCAATTGCAGTCCTCTTGCCACTAGACTGGTTCAGCATAAGCAGGTAAAGAAATCTCAGTAGGACATGAGGAAAAGTATTCCAGAGGTCTGTTTCTGAGAATGTGTTTCTCCATTTTAAGAAGAGACAGGATACTGTATGAGGAGAAAATGCTCAGAACTGCTGAAGTCTTCTTACAGCAACAAGAGATTCAGAAAGGACTGAACCTGGTGCCTCTGATACCACTCAGTCCCTGAATTAATCTTCAGGCTACCCATATGAGTCAAGTTTGGGTCAGGGAGGCAGAACTAGAGAATGACAGAATAAAGATTTATTACAGAGCTTCAACCTTACACAACTGTAGGTGCTGGTGGAGAAGTCTATGCCAGGCTGTTCCCTCTGCACCTGGTTGAGGCCTGAAGTCACTGTTGGTCGGCTGTGCAAGGAGCAAGGATGAAGGGAAGTCCATAGGAACGAACAGGACCCATGTGTGTGTGTGTCTCAGCCTCCACTGCGGTGCCGTGGGTGATCTCAGGAAAAGCTGCTTCTGGTTGCCATGGAGCTGCACACACACCTGGCCAGGACTCTGCAAAGCTGAAGGAGCAGGCTGGCAGGAGTTAGAAGAGCTCTGGGAACAGGGCGCTGTCTCTGGTCTCTGGCAGCTCCCCTTTTTAGCATGGAGCCATATTTTCAAGCTGTCACAATGCTTGGGTCTGTACACTGACCTTATGGGCATAAAATAGATGCTGATTTTGCCTGTCAAACCAGTGCAAAATTCTTTATGACCCATGCCAATCCAGAACCATGAGAGGAATTCCGGGACATGTTCTTCCAACTTAGCTCAATTGGCACTGCACAAATCCGGCATGTCACCTGTGACTGAATGTCTTGTGTGAGGTTATCTCCATGTTTAAAGTGTGTACCAGCATATAGCCTACATGTGTGTTGATTAGGAGGATTTTACTTACATGTTCAAATTGCCTAACTATGGTTATATGTATACCACAATGCTGAGATGTTATGACTTCTGTCTCAGCACTGCCGGCTCACAACATATGTACATAGATTTAGGGGCATATCGAGCCAAAGTCGCCTAACATCAGTAAAAAGCACTCACCATGCCCTAGTCCCCATGGAACCTGACTGGTCTAAGGATATCGTCTATGAGTCCTACCCATTAAGTGGAAATACGCACAAAGGATCAAGTTATTAATTCATTTTTTTAAACAGAATTGAAAACGTTCTTTCATTTATTTAATCTGTCATGTGAAACATGAGAAGGTAGTTTACTTGAGGATCAAAAACTCCCCATTAACTGTGGAAGCAATGATCTTCCCTTTAATTATTTTTCTAATTGCCTTGTTTATATGGTGTGAAAAGCAATTTAAACATGTTTTAAAAAATGTTTCCAATGCAATCTACGTTTTTGGCCATGAAACAGCACCTTTCTTGTACTTCTCCAGCTGTTGTCCTTTCAAAGCAGGGGATGCTTATTCTTTTTGAACCTGAAAAACAGAATGTCAGTGTGTTCTGTGAATTTCCTGTGATTTTCACCAGTGGAACACATGCCCAGAACCAAGCTGAGTCCTTTCCAGAGGTAAGCAGGCCTTAGCCAAGTCTTCATTAACTTCAAAGGGAGGCAGGGAATTGAGGCAATTATCTGCATTATAATAAAGAAAGCAGACACCGGTAATTCACCCCAAGGGTATGCTCGGTCACTCTCAATTTTCTGCCTGCCTTGCCCTGCCGTGCCAGTGAAGGCAGCACCCCCTTTAGCCAACCCCATGAGGACAAAGACAAGGGTATGCTCGGTCACTCTCAATTTTCTGCCTGCCTTGCCCTGCCGTGCCAGTGAAGGCAGCACCCCCTTTAGCCAACCCCATGAGGACAAAGACAAGGGTATGCTCGGTCACTCTCAATTTTCTGCCTGCCTTGCCCTGCCGTGCCAGTGAAGGCAGCACCCCCTTTAGCCAACCCCATGAGGACAAAGACAAGGGTATGCTCGGTCACTCTCAATTTTCTGCCTGCCTTGCCCTGCCGTGCCAGTGAAGGCAGCACCCCCTTTAGCCAACCCCATGAGGACAAAGATTCTGCAGCCACATCACCAATTTGCTCCCCAGCCCTGACACACAATTCTGTCAGAAAACCTTTTCTTTGTGCTTATGACAGTTGAGGGATTTTTTGGCCTTTCTTCTGTGAAGGGGAAACAATTAGTCATTGTACTGCCAAGGAGGGTTTTCCTATTCCTCTCTGGCCTCTCAAAAGCAGTTTCTGCTTCACTCACTGTGTTCTTTGTTGAAAATAACTGTGACAAAGTCGAAGGGATGGCATCTGTTTTGGAGGCCCTCTGACCTCCTGCAGCTGAATGCAATTGCAGTACATGGGAGGCACCTCCCTACACAACTTAGATGAGGTTGCTGGCGGGCTCTGTATAGAACACCCTAAATCCAGTGCCATAATGCTTCTCAAATTGAGGCCAGAGTTCAAACCACTTAATTGGCCCTCTCACATAGGACTTATCCTTGAGGCAGCCATTCAGGCATCAGTAAAAAATTTCTGGACTCTCTCAATAATTCATATTTCTTATATTTAGATCTAAAAATATTCAATATAACCAACTGTTAGGCTCTCCTTCAAAAGAGATGCTTTTGACCTCCCTTAAGGTAGAATTTATGCAGATTATTGGCAACCCTATCAACTTGCCTAGCAGGTTTGCTAGTAATTCAGTTACTTCCTGGATTCATTTGTATAAAATAATCAGGAGTCCATGGAAAAATGATAATTTTAAAAAGCACAGATGGATGGAGTCAAAATTTGGAGTGAACTCTTTTTGTAATAGACACATTTGTACCATCTCAATATGGAGTCCAAGAGGGAAGATATTTAAGATTGAGACACTGAAGGAAAAGAAATGCAGGAGTCTTGCTTTGCAGTTCTCTGCTTTATATTCCTGATTCTGCCCAAAAACACAGAGAAAGAGGGCTAGTGATGCACCACATTAAAAAAAATAATAAATAAAATGATGGTGCCTAGGTATGCCAGAAGCTACGCTCAGTGATTTCAGGCAATCTATTAGCTAGTATCACATTACCCAATCTCCTTTGATTCCCTTCCCCTAAGCCAGACCTCATTTAAAAAGTGTGTATTCCTGAGAAAATTTTGATAAGGAAGCCGAAACTACCTGACCCTGCCAAACATTCAGTATATCATTCATCACTCTACCAGTAAAATCAGGGCAACGGCCTCTGCCATTAGATTAGAAGAGCTGTTTCATGGGCCAAGGAGACAGAGAAAAATCCTTTTTTCTGTGTTTTCAGGCAGAATCAGGAATATGAAGCAGAGACTCTTGCATTTGTTTTCCTTCAGTGTCTCAATCTTAAATATCTTCCTTCTTGGACTCCATATTGAGATGGTACAAATGTCCCTCAATTTTAAACATCTTCCCTCATGGACTCCATATTGATATGGAACTAAGTCATGTATGTGTCTACCATGGAAAGAGTTCACTCTGAATTTTGAGCTGATCCATCTACTTTTTAAAATCCTTTTTGTTTCATGGACTTCTAACTACACAAATGAATCCAGACCCTAAATGTCAGACCCTGCAAGTCAAAATGGAGGTAAACATTTGAAATGTATAAATACAATGCACATGCTACTCAAGTGCTTAGCATTTCATCTACCTGGACAAGTATAATTTAGTGAACACCACAAGGTTTTATCGGAACCCTTTGTTCTTATCTTTTAAAAGCTTTTAAAGATGGGGAGGAGATCCAAGATGGCCAAACAGGAACAGCTCTGGAGTGAAGTTCCCAGCGAGAAGAATGCAGAAGGTGAGTGATCACTGCATTTCCAAACAAGTTTTACTGCCCACAGACCAGGAGATGCCAGGCTGAAAAGTGCCATGAGTTTCCAGCACAGCTGTTTCAGCTGGTGTTGCTGCTCTCTGCACAAAACTCACACAAATCCAGGTGGCTGTTTCAACAGGCTCCTGGAATGCCTGGGATATAGAGTTGCCCATTCAATGGAAAAAAGGGGGCTGAAACAGGGAGCCAGGTGATCTGGCTCAGCGGGTCCCACTCCCAACAAAGACCAGCAATCTGAAACGCTCTGGATTGAGAGTTTCACAGCAAGGGCAGCTGGACCCGGGACAGTCCAGCTTGATGGGGGGGAAGGGCATGAGCCATTACCAAGGCAGTCTACCTTTACTGAGGCAGACCACCATTACCGAGGCAATCTGCCTTTACTGAGGCAGTCTGCCATTACCGAGGCAGTTCTAACAGGAAGTTCATGTAGCAGCTGGGCAGAGCCCGCAGCAACTCAGTAATGTCTCTGCTGGCAGACTGTGGCTAGACTACCAGCTTGCTGGGCAGGGCATCTCTGAAAAAAGGCAGCAGCATGTCAGGAACTTATAAATAAAAGCTTCACCATCCCAGGACACAGCACCTGGGGAAAAAGGCATTTATGAGTTCCACTGCAGCAGACTTAAATGTATCTTCCCAGAAGCTCTGAAGAGAACAATGGATCTCCCAGATCAGCACTTGAACTCCTATAAGAAACAGACTGTCTCCTTTATCAGCTCCCTGACCCCTGTATATCCAAAGAGAGACCTCATAAAGGAAAGCTCAGACAGACATCTGGCAGGTACCCTTCTAGGATGAAGATAACAGAAGAGAAACTGGTAGCAACCCTCACTGTTCTTCAGCCCCCATGGGTGATCCCCAGGCAAGCAGGGTCTGGAGTGGACCTCCAGCAGGCCTACAGCAGAGGGGCCTGACAGAAAAAACTAAGAAACAGAAAGAAATAACTTCAACATCAACAAAAAGGATGTCCACTCAGAGACCCCATCTGAAAGTCACCAACTACAAATACCACAGTTAGATAAATCCATAAAGACGGGAAGAAAGCAGAGCAAAAAGGTTGAAAACACCAAAACCCAGAATGCCTCTCCTCCTCCAAGGGAACACAACTCTTCACCAGGAAGGGAACAAAGCTGGATGGAGAATGAGTCTGATAAATTGACAGAAACAGGCTTCAGAAGGTGGGTAATAACAAACTTTTCTGAACGAAAAGAACATGCTCTAACCCAATGCAAAGAAACTAAGAAACTCGAAAAAAGGTTTCAAGAAATGCTAATGACAATAAACAACTGAGAGAAGAATATAAATGACTTGATGTGGTGCTGAAAAACACAAGAGAACTTCACGAAGCATATGCAAGTTTCAATAGCCGAACTGACCAAGCAGAAGAAAGGATATCACAGATTGAAGATCAACTCAATGAAATAAAATGAGAAGGCAATTCTCTCCGTCACATTCAGGTACACCTACATTTGATACCTATCAAAAATGATACCTAGCAAAAATGTAGGTATACCTGAACGTGACAGAGAGAATAAATCCAAGCTGGAAAATACTCTTCAGGATATTATCCAGGAGAACTTCCCCAACCTAGCAAGGCAGGCCAATATTCAAGTCTAGGAAATTACAGAGAACATCACAAAGATATTTCTCAAGAAGAGCAACCACAAGGCACATAATCATCAGATTCACCAGGGTTGAAATGAAGGAGATAATGCTAAGGGCAGCCAGAGAGAAAGCTCAGGTTACCCACAAAGGGAAGCCCATCAGACTCACAGCAGATCTCTCTGCAGAAACCCTACAAGCCAGAAGAGAGTGGGGGCCAATATTCAACATCCTTAAAGAAAAGAACTTTACCTAGAATTTCATATCCAGCCAAACTAAGTTTCATAAGCAAAGGAGAAAAAAATCCTTTACCAAGAAGCAATTGCTCAGAGATTTCATCACCACCAGGCATGTTTTACAAGAGCTCCTGAAAGAAGCACTAAACATAGAAAGGAACAACCAGTACCAGCCACTCCAAAAACCTACCAAATGGTAAAAAGGATTGACACAATGAAGAAACTGCATCAACTAACGGGCAAAACAGCCACCTAACATCAAAATGCCAGAATTAAATTCACACATAACAATATTAACCCTAAATGTCAATGGGCTAAATGTACCAATCAAAAGACACAGACTGGAAAATTGGATAAAAAGCCAAAACCCATTGGTGTGCTATATCCAGGAAACCCATCTTACATGCAAGGATACACATAGGCTTAAAATAAAGGGATGGAGGATGATTTACCAAGCAAATGGAGAGCAAAAAAAAAGCAGGAGTTGCAATTCTCATCTCTGATAAAATACTTTAAGCCAACAAAGATCAAAAGAAGGACATTATATAATGGTAAAAGAATCAATGCAATGAGAAGAGCTAACAATCCTAAATATATACACACCCAATACAGGAGCACCCAGTTACATAAAGCACTGGTCATTAGAGAAATGCAAATCAAAACCACATTAAGATACCATCTCACACCAGTTAGAATGGTGATCATTAAAAAATCTGGAGACAACAGATGCTGGAGAGGATGCAGAGAAATAGGAACACTTTTACACTGTTGGTGGGAGTATAAATTAATTCAACCATTGTGGAAGACAGTGTGGTGATTCCTCAAGGATCTCGAAATGAAAATTCCATTTGACCCAGCAATCCCATTACTGTGTATATATCCAAAGGATTATAAATCGTTCTATTTTAAAGTCACATGTACATGTATGTTCATTGCAGCACTGTTTACAATAGCAAAGACCTGGAACCAACCCAAATGTGCATCAATAATAGACTGGACAGGGAAAATGTGGCACATATACACCATGGAATACTATGCAGCCATAAAAAACGATGAGTTCATGTCCTTCACAGGGACATAGATGAATCTGGAAACCATCATTCTCAGCAAACTGACCCACATGTTCTCACTCATAAGCGGATGTTGAACAATGAGAACACGTGGACACAGGGAGGGGAGCATCACACACTGTGGTGTGTTGGGGGAGAGTAGGGAGGGACAGTATAGAGTAGAGAGGTTGGGGAGGGATAACATGGTGAGAAATGCCAGATATAGGTGATGGGGATGGAGGCAGCAAACCACATTGCCATGTATGTACCTATGCAACAATTCTGCATGATCTGCACATGTACCCCAGAACCTAAAGTAATCATATATACATACATATATATATATATATATACTTATTTATTTATTTGCAGGAAAAAGAAAAGCTTTCAAAGAGAAAAACAAATTTCTCATTCATGCAATGACATCAGCCCTAAACAAACATGATTTAAGACTTAGAATAGAGTTGAACACCTGCCATACCTTTTTTCCAAACTCTCTTGCTTTAATCTTGAGTTTATTGACTTGAGATTCTGCCACCTCTGCCCTTTCCTTCACTTCATTCAACTCATGTTGCTGCTTCTTGTACTTGGATAGGTATTGATTGGCTTGTGCTTCCTATAAAAATAATAAAGAAATCTCCATGCCTATCTAGTCAGTTTTTTTTTCTGTTCTGACATGAGAACGTTGAATAATGTGAAAAGAATCTAAACTTCTCAGTATGGAATGAGAGATCTTTTTTTGGTATGATACATTGGGATTCAGACTTTCTAGCAGACATAAAATCCATTTTTTGGTAACTTTTGTTCCCTGGAAATTCAGAACCTAGTTAGCACTTTTCATAACTGGACACAGCAGAGCTCTCACCGAAGGAATAACCACAGCTGTTTCATCATCAGTTTAACATCCTATTCTACCTCTGAGTAGAGAGGGCTTGTGTTTAAAATTATATGGGTCAACAGGTAATTATTAGACCTTGGGCTAGAACAGGTAGTGTTTTAGGCCAAACCACTGAAATAATTAAAATGCCTCAAGAGTGAATACTAAGGATAGATCAATACGTGTGGCACTTATCAATCCCCTGTAGCTATAGATTCTGATCCAGGGATGGCAAGTACGTTTCAATTTATGGGTTTTGTCCACAACTGTATCCAGGACCATCAAGAACAAATACTGTGAACCACGTTTATGTTCACCCAAGGTTTTGGGGTGAGGGAGGTCCCACGGTGGACTACCTTGCCAAAAACTGGCCTTCTCTACAGGACCCCCGACTTTTCCATGGCTTATGTCTTGCAGTGTGCCTGTTTGGATGAAGCCACAGAGGTAAAGGAGAAAGCTGTGGCTTCCCGGAGGGAAAAGCCATACGCGTTATTGCCACGGGTGAGAATTCTAACTTAAGGAGAAAAACGAGAATGGGCAGACTCTAAGCTGAGCTGGCCCTCTCTGACAAGCTGCTTGCTGAGTTCAGGGCCACAGATCTCCCTTAATCAAAACAACGCTGGGAAATCCATGACGCTCCAACGTCCCCAGGCACTCACCGCCACCTCGACTTGCTGCTTGTAATTTTGTACTTTCAGCTGAAGTGTATCCATCTGAATTTGCATCCTGCTCAGATTCTTCTTGTCTTCCTCTGCCTGCAATGCATAGCCATGTATGGGAAGGTGATTCAGAAGACCCAGCTGTCTACATTGGGATAGCCTCATGTTGGGAAATAAAGGTTAGGGAACTTTATTAAACTTCATCTCAGAGTTGTGATTTTAAAAATGGGTTTAACTCACCCAAGTTCCAAGAAATTAATAAATAGAACAGTCAGCTCTAACCGTCATTTGTCCTGATCCACCAACCTTTGCTGAAATGAGAGTTAAAGCCGTTAGGCTCTGTTTGGTCTTCAGTCTTTCCAGCTCAACCAAGCTGTATCTGCATACTTAAAATGAGTAATTAATTATCTACTGCTATATTGTACTTTAAGGTGGTGGGGCAGTGCATTCCAGATGATAAGAACAGCTTTAGCTGTAGCTAAATCAAAAGCTATATATTTAGCAGGAATGAACTGCATTATTATAAAAGCCACATATTCAAAACTGAAAAACAGTTGCTCCCCATTCAAAACAACTCTTCCTTTAAACTTGCTAATTGACTCTTGGCTTTTCATAATGGAACACTTCTGACGCAGGCATCAGCAGACACAGCAAAGAAGATTCCACAAACTGTGGGAAGCTTGGTGTGCCCATTCTTGCTGCCTCAATTACAATTCAGCCTTGGGCTGGAGAGAGGAAGTCTGGTGGGATACTGTTTCTCAGCTGTGCCCCACAGAGCCTTCGGTATTCCAGGGAGAAAGGAGGATGGATGCAGGCAGGTACATAGGGCTCTGCCTGCTCCCTCTTTCCTCACACCCCTTTAACTGGAGTATTGCCATGTTAGCGCTATTGAACTTTTCAAAGGAAGAAAATATCTCAATTTGCTCAGGGTTGAGAAGCTGATTCAATCAAGAAAGATCTCCTGCTGCTGCTTAAACTTTTTGCTGGCTCCCTTTGACCTATTCCATCAGGTATCAACTTTTTTGGCAGCTTTCATGTTCCCCCTACTTACCTTCCATTCCCCGAGCACCACAAACCCATTACAGCCAGGTCACATTCCCCTGCTTCCCCAGAGCTCCTGCTTATTCTGTCCTCCTTAGGTTTAGCTAAGCTGTTCTCATCATCTGGAATGCACGCACCCCCCTTAAAGTACCATATGGAAGTAGATATTAATAATTACTAATATTAAGCATTGGGAGGCAGGGATAAATATATATGAAAGAACCTAGTTGGGGAGCTGAGACAAGTCTGGTTCAAATAAAACCCCTTCTTTGTTTTTATCTGCCTATCCCTCTACTTGTCAGGTTTATAAAATTCAAAGATTCATAGCAGTATGTGCTTACAGTAAATTCTAAAATCAATATTGAATTGCCAATAATCAGTTCACTGAGAGGAGAGTAAACTGGTGGTAAAGGAGGCCACTGAGAAGAAAAGTGGAAAAAGCTAGAAGTGGTTGCTGACGTTACTGACCTTCCTCCCGCTCGGGAAGGCAAAGCCATTGACGTTAGACCTAGGTTCCCGTCTCAGCTCTGCGGCATTGAGTAACTGAGGTCATGGCTATGCACTTCCTAGATTTCCCTTCAAGAAAATAAGTTGCCATTCAGCCGTGAGAAGTGCAGTTACCTGATAACCTCCAACTGCAGTGCCTTTGGGACCTGCCACAACATTAGCACCGAGGCCACACACTTCCCAGGCAACCCCCAGGCAATAGCTGGGCATAGTGGAGTCACTAGAGTCTGGCCATTTCTGCCCAACATGGGCGTCCTTTCTGGGTAACCTTTGTGTTGGAGACTTGCCCAGAGCTGCGCTACAGTCTGAGGCTCTTCCCATCTCCTCTTCCTCCCTCAGCCTGGCCGTTTACGTCTCTGCCCCATCCTGCTTGCTTACATCTTCATCTTTTGTAGATGTGACTTCTGATAGATCTCCTGTACATCTAACTCTATCCTGGCGTTTGGTTCTGAGAGAACACTTTCAACACAGCAAGTTAACCAAATTGTATGTCCTTGTCCCTAAAAATGATACTATATTATCGATAGATGTGTAAAGATTAAATATTACCTACACAGATTTCTGTGTAGGATGTAGGAGGCAGTTGATGGGAGAACCTAGCAGGTGGGTGGAGAGTGAGGGGCAGAGGAACTATCTTGACCTTCTATAGTAATTACAAGTACTTAATCTTATGTTCTGCTTTATAGCACATTTTTCTAGGTGCTAGAGACAGAGAAATAGACAAGTTTCCAAATGCTAGGGGGATATAAAGGAGAGGGTAAATGCCGCGTGGGGATCAGCCATAGAACTGCCATGGAGTGGGGTCACACTTGACTCCTTTCCAGAGTAGAATCTTCCCAGAGGACTTTTCCTAAGAAAACCTTAGTTGTGTCCCTTTCAAAATGACATTTTTAATTGTACCTAGGAATGGGCTTTCACCAAACACCCTGCCTCCTTGGTTATTTTGGTGGTTATTTGGTGGTTATTTTGATGATTGAATTGACTCAGCATTAACCTTTAACATTTTCAAACCAAGTAACAGGAAATGTGGTGTCCTCTAATGTCTCTTTAAACTTAGAGGCGTTAGCCTAATAGATATTAGCTGATTTGATGGCAGAAAACACTTGGAAGAAATTAATCAATGCACCTCGTGCTAGTACATGAGAAACGCTATGATTACTACAATGAAGAAACAGAAGGAAGACACGATAGAACAAGAATGCATTCCATGGGACAATGAAAACCAAAAAAATATAACCTTGGTTTTTTTGTTCTATAATGAAGTTGTTTACAGAACAAAACAATATTAATAATCAATGGGAAAATACAAAGAAGAAAAAGCCAGACATGAAAGCAGTATTTCAGTCCATCAACGTGGGTGGCTTCTCCACCCTCCTCAAAAGAAGAGTAGAATTGCAACCCTTTATGTTCCCAAGGTGTTTACTTACTTAGCCACACAGACCATGGGCCCAGTCCTCACTGGCTTTGATAGACCTAGCATGGTCTAAAGAAGTGTCAGACCAACTCATCTTACAAAAGGAGCCACTTCATAATAAAAGAGCTGTGCAAGTAGCTCATTTCATCTTAATTAGCCCAAGATGATGCTTCTGAATTGCTGTGCCTTCTTATCTATCCTTTCTGCTGCAAGGGAAGAAGATTTTGACATCTCTAACAACCCAGCCTCAGGAACCAGAATGAGGACTGGCAGATCTTTCATTGGAATTGTCGAAGAAGCTGTAAAAATGGGTGCCTAAAATGAATTCGCCTCTGTATTGGAATAAGCTATCATGTGCATTGTGAGAGGACTGGAAATTGACTTTTAGCGTCTGTGTTCAACAGTGGAAATCCGGCATCTACTGTGTGACAGGCAGATGCCAGACCCTAGAGGGGAGAACAATACATGTCCCTGCCATCAGATTCAGAGAATCTATGTTGACTGAATTAGAAACAAAAGGGAAGCAATGGTTGAAAGTGAAAATGTAGATTTTTTTTTTCTTCCTTTTTGAGACGGAGTTTCGCTCTTGTTACCCAGGCTGGAGTGCAATGGCGCGATCTCGGCTCACCACAACCTCCGCCTCCTGGGTTCAGGCAATTCTCCTGCCTCAGCCTCCTGAGTAGCTGGGATTACAGGCACGCGCCACCATGCCCAGCTAATTTTTTGTATTTTTAGTAGAGACGGGGTTTCACCATGTTGACCAGGATGGTCTCGATCTCTTGACCTCGTGATCCACCCGCCTCGTCCTCCCAGAGTGCTGGGATTACAGGCGTGAGCCACCGCGCCCGGCCGATGATGATATTTTTACTTTAGAAATGCGTATAGTTACTTGTAAGAAGTCTGCCCCCCTCTTTTCAATGATCTGCTTGAGTCCAATGGTAGTCAACAGGTTAGACTGAGAAAACTTCGGAGGTCTCTTTGTGGTATTTTGTTTCCACCTGGCACCAGCAAGAGTGTCCTCAGTGGCCTCGAGTGTTTGCGCATCCAGAAAATAGGAGTAGAAATGCCCCCTGCTCCAATTTAGTCAGCGTCCCATGTAACCTGCCAGCTGGGCAGCCACCCCAGGCCTCTGCCATTAACTTCATTTACACATTGTTCTCACTCAGCCACTCACAGGAAGGCATCTTTATGAAAGCACTGCAAACACTATGTGTGAAAAAATACAGATGGTATAAATAGCTTTTCACTTCTAATTGCAACTTGCCGCTCACATTTTATTTCCTGAGAGCTCTGAAAAGAGACCGATCCAAACCGCTAATAGCACAGGAGCTCTGGGAGGGTGAGTCAGTGTCTACTGCTGAGCAAGAACAAAGATGAAGAGAGAACGGTAGGAGTCCCAGAAGGCCATTTCAGGCTTGAAGGAGTACGTTTCTGCAGGGTAGCGCCCAGCCAGCCAAACAGGGGAGGGTTTCCCGGAGTACCTGATAGGTCAGCTCTTTGACGCAATGCTCTAGTCTGCGGGCTCCCCTCTGGGCCTCTGCACTGCGACGGATTTCACCCTCCAGTTCACCTTCCAGTTCATGAACCTGCAACCAAAACGTGACCTCAGACCACATGCTGCCAGCAAGGCTGGCATTCTATTTGCCAGTTGGCACAATCATTTGAAAGACAGCAAAGTAGTCAAGGGAACACGCATACACTCTGTTTCTGGTAGTGCCCAAACAGGGCAATGTCTCTGGGAAAACTCTCGCCAAAAGTGGGATCGTTAATGGGTTCATAAAAAAACTGTTTAGACTCTGAAATATGTGAAAGGCTGATTCACACAGACATGAGAAGCTTCTCGAATTAGAAAATCACACCCAAAGTGTATGTATGAATGTATACGTAAGTATAGAGAGTCAGCAATGTGTAGTCCGCTTGAGGATTTGGTCAACGTACTACCTAATCTTAAGTTGCTTTCCCTATGTTCAGCTCTGACTCTCTAAAGAAATCAGATGCCGAGTTTATCTCACAGACGTGTCACCCATAGCCCTACGGTCCTGCTTTGTGGGAAAGCTATCATACGGATGAACTGCCTGCAGCCTTATATAGTCACACAAACGAGCTTAACGTAACATTCATTCAATGCAGGTTCCTCCTACATACCACACCCCAGTGCTAGGAATACAGCAGTGAACAAAACCGACAAAAATCCCTTCCCTGAATTAGCATACATTCTGATGAGGGGAAGCAGACAGACAAAACAAAGTAAAATGTAGGCTATGTGTGACGGGGTAAGTGCCATAGAGAGAATAATGCAGGAGAACAGGTAGGGAGCTGATGTTGGCTGCTCCCCATGCCTGGGGGGCTTTTTTCCTGCCTTCTCCTTGACTCCAATGCCACCTGAGGACAGGAAGGCCAGTGCCCTGAGGCACAAATGTGCCTAGCACATCTGACCTCACCTCTTACTCCCCACTGAAGCCATTCTTCCCTCCTGTACCTCCTCAGAGACGAGCAACGTGAAGAGACGGGAGCAAGTGTGCGACTTCCCTGTGGATGAAGCCCACTTAAAGCAATCTTCTGGCACCTGACATATAGGAACTTGACACACAGTTCTGTCTGTCGGGATATGAGCTAATACAGGCCCTTCTACTTTTAAGCACTTGTTAAGAATTTGGGGGGATTTTTAAAAAGTGATTAAAACACCTTGGGGAAAAAACTGCTTTACTAAAGCAAATCCTACACATCATGTAATTCCACCTGTAAATACTATTTGATATCATTCAAACAGGTAATGATGGTTCCATGGTTGCATCTTTAAGAATATTAGGCTGAGAGCGATGGCTCACACCTGCAATCCCAGCACTTTGGAGGCTGAGGTAGGCAGATCACTTGAGGTTGGGAGTTAGAGACCAGCCTGACCAACATGGAGAAACCCCATCTCTAATAAAAATATAAAATTAGCCAGGCATGGTGGTGCATGCCTGTAATCCCAGCTACTTGGAAGGCTGAGGGAGGAGAATCGCTTGAACCCAGGAGACACAGGTTGCGGTGAACTGAGATCATGCCACTGCACCCAAGCCTGGACAAGAGCAAAACTCCAACTCAAAAAAATATATATTAACCATAATTCCTTAGTATTATCTGATATTAAGGAGCTCATTGCTGGTCATTGCTACTGAGTTATCACTGGTTCTAGTTTTTAATAGTGAACAAACAGCAATTGAAAATAAAATCCTACAATCTTAAAATTGAGTTGGAAAAACCATTTTCATGTACTTTTTAGGGGAATGATGCATACTTTTAAAATTTTATACCTATATGCCTTTTCTCTTATACCTAAAATCTTGGTTCTTATATATGTCATTGAATAAACCATAGTCTTACTGCTAATAGCAATTAAGTGTTGGTATTTCGAAGTTATAAATGCATGTTTTTTGCCATTCTTAATTTTGTCCTAACATTGAGGGATGTAAGAACAAAACACCATGTTTAAAAGTCACTGAGAATAATTCTTGCACGTGTATGTTTAGTGCCCCCAACTTTATATATCGTTAACTTCATTTGCCTCCATTGGTGTTAAAATTTTAGGACTGCCGAGTTTTTTGACTTAACCTTTTTGAATATAAAATATGCAAATAATTTATATGATTTTCCAATGAAAACAACAAGGTACATTAGGAAGGTCCAATTGTCATCTCTGTGTTATCCTCTTATATAGCTATTTTTATTTTTTAATTTATCCTGTTACCATTTCATTTTGAAAATATAAGCAAATGTGTACACCCTCATATTCCCCTGCTTTTGTGAACAAAAGGGTGTACACTTTCTACACCGCCCTTACTTTTTACTCAGTATGACTACATGGAGGTACCTGAAATGGACGTTGGTGTTCCACTGAATGGATGTACCATAGATGTGCAAAGGTGATACTTTATTTTTCAGAGCCTCTTTTGAACTAGGATTGAACAATCGAATCCTAGTTGAATATTCTTTCCATTCTTGTAGCATTTATCATATGCCCTGTATGTAGTCATTAAAATTGATTCAGTCATTTTACAAATCTTATTTTCAAGATGAGTTACTACTTGTTTTTAAGCTCCCTGAAGGCAGATGCTACATCCTCTCTGTCAGTCCTTACTGTATCTTCTCCAGGTCTTTCTTGATCATTGATATAGCTGTTTTTCCTCTCCTTTATCTGGCTGTCAGAAAACGGGCATTCTCTGCAGAAGAAATAACAAGAGCTAAGGCAGAGAAGCAAGACTGTCAGGGGTGTGTTTGGAAACAGCAGGTAGCCCTGGAGTGAGAGCCTGGCGCTGGTGAGGTGAGCAGGAAAATCTGTATTGTCACCTAGCAAGAGGGAAAGCAGATTTCATCCAGTCCAAGGGAAGTCCTATGTGCTTACCCAAAGTCAGGCAAAGAATAAATGCATATATTGAGATCTAACACTCTTAAACATCTGAAAGTGCGAAAGCAAAAGTGATAAAGGGTGTATGTGTTGGGGGGTGAATCTGGTGTCATATTACAGGGCAAAGAACCCTTAATTGGGGGGGCTGTCAAGCTCTCATGATTACTCAAAATCTTACCCTGGATTCTAGTTTCTGAATTTGCTTTCTACTCCCCATCAGGGCCGTCCGTTCAGCTTCCGCCAGCCTTTTTTGTAAGTCTGTAATTGTCTGCTCCATATTTTCTCTCATCCTTTCCAAGTAGGCAATGGTGTCTTGCTTCTTCTTCAGTTCTTCCGACAAGTTTGCTGCCTAGGAGAGTATAAAAGGGACTGAGCTAGTTCAGCAATCAATTGATCTTAACATTTTTACCATGATCTTCAGTTCCTGGTCTTACTGGCTGCCACGCCTTGCCTCTGTATATGTGATCTCTTCCCATCATAATCTCCCTAACCGCCACCACCCTCGGCCCCTTTGTTAACAATAAGGCAATAGAGACAGCAGTAGCTATAGGAGAGAACAGGGTAAGGAGTGGTAGAAACAGACCAAAGATGAAGAACCATATGAGAACAGCTGTATAAAAGGAAGATGACCAACGGAAACAATGGCTTTTAACTGAATGAAGCACTGGGACGATTTATTATTTAATAAAGTGCTGGCGTCACGTTAATGCACCAGCAAAGGTGTGGAGAAGGTACCTACGAAAATCCTTCACATCTCACTTCTGTAATTCTGTGATTCACTACACAAACAAGTTTGGCTCCAGGAATTTGGCAGTAACAGACGCCCTCACTGCCAACAATCTGGCATGAGAAAGGTCAATTGTGAAGCCTGCTCTTGGCTTTGGCTATGTGGACGAGGGCTTGGTGTCTCCATGTAATCATTAAGAAGTGTTTCGAGAATCTCTAGGTGCATTTAA